CCCTGTTCAACTGATAATATAAAGGAATCTTAGAAAAATAAGATGAATTTCTCAAACAAGAATCAAATTTAAATTACCGGCGGCGCGATATAATATCTTCGGTTCGAAATACAATACAGGATTTTGATCTCTTATAGAAGCCAATAGAAGACCCTTCGCTTGAATCGGACTTCGTGGCATCACGATCTATAAATCAACAATATAATAATATAAATATTTAATTTTTTAATGCTATGGTAATTATATTATTTTATTCATTGTTACCTTTATACCAGGAGTATGGGCAAAGTATGCCTCTGGTGATTGTGAATGATAATGTCCACCATGACCCACAGCAGAACAAGGTGCTCTTACTGTCAATCCACCAACGTTAAACAAACCTCCAGAACGGTATCTGTATTTGGCTGCTTCGTTGACAATCTAAATATGAAATGAATTTAGAAGTTTGGCAAACAAAAAGTAACTATATTTGACAGGATAATACCTGATCAAACGCTGGAAAAATATAATCTGCAAACTGGATTTCTGCAATGGCTGTATGACCCATTGCTGCCATTCCGATACCAAAACCTACTATACCTTGCTCTGTTAATGGTGTATTAAATACCCGATCTCTACCTGTCATTATTCGAAATTAATACTAAGATCATGTATGTCATTAAAAAAAAACAATTTTGTTAATAATTCTTACCAAACATTTCGGCAAGGCCTAATGTACAACGAAATACACCACCAAATGACACATCCTCTCCAAAAATAACTAGAAAGTTGAATTTAAAATAATTCGTGAATTTTCTTATTCTCAATAACGTTACCGTTTAACGACTCACCAGCCGTTTCATCTGTAGCCAATGCTATACTCATCGCATCATTGATAGACTGAAACAAGTTCATCTTTTTTGTCTCGCCTAAAATTAGAATTCAAAAGAAATAATCAAAAAACGAACGATTATGCAAAAAAAAAAAGTCGCGAAAATAATCACCATTCGCTACCCCTGTTTCCAATAATTCTGGATTTTTTAATGCTTCTTCTTGTGTGTTCTTAATAAACTTTGACTGTGCAACCCCTGGCATGAACCCTTCAGCTGGTGGTGGGGAGTCGGCGGCATTATGCGCAGATTGTATTGCACTATAGAATCTCTGAAAATAATTGTTTATTTTGTTTCTGTGGTGACATAACTAGTAAAAACCCAAACATTTAAATAACCTACCTTGCGAGTAATTCGTCCCAAATATGTTCCTGTTTTATTGCGTAGAAACAATGAGGTAATGCGAAAATTAATTGTATTCATCTTCAACTAATTAATAGAG